ACCCAGCATTGATCCTAAATTTAGATGGATACAAGCAGAGTTTTTTTAAAATCATTGATGATATAACTGACGTTTTCAGAGGTTCGCAAAATATCGCTACGAAGCACTCTTCGCGCTAGGACTTATGAGAATTGCGCTTTAAAATTCAAATGCGCCATGAGACACTAGCGCCAGGATGCATTGGGTGCAGTCAATTGATAAATTAAACCAATCATGCTTTCAAACGCTTGGTTCGATTGTGCATTTATTTGTGTCAAAATAAATAAGCAAGATACCGCAATCATCGTCAATTCTCTGTGTGAAAAAAAAGTCAAAAGATGCGAGAAAACTGTGTTCGGCTACAAAAACATCCTTGCCGAACAGCTGACAGAAGAATATGGGCATTTATCAAAGCGCTTTTGTTGCCGGCATGCATACACTGACACAGATACTTTGGTGTTTGTGAGTGACTGACGTTGCTCGATGCTACGTAGCAGCTAGATAGGGTTATCCCTCAAATTTATCCGTGCGTGGATTATGTATGGTAATTTGTTGATGCTGTATGGACGTGGGGTTACGGTGTACACAAGCCAGATTCTATATCCTGGCAATGCTAGAAGTGTTGACCATTCTGTGTCAGAGTGTCCGTCTCATCAATGTGGCTTGTCACTACGACATTCCTTGTTATTACCCTAACAAGCTTCTCAAGCACCGATTGCTTCAGTATGAAGGGTTTCTCTGCGCCGTAATTGGGCCCCGCCTCCGAAACTTTTATACACTTAATCCTCAATCCTCGCTCTCATACATCATCGGTAAACTGGCATCAAACACTGCTTATATGCCGTAGCTCTGTGCTAATCAACAACTTGTCTTCTTCAGGCTTCGACCCTTCTCACGCTTCGAGGCAACTGACCCAAGTACAGTACTTCCAACGAATTGAACACTACTGACGCGCGAAACTTGTGCGCAGACCAGAGATTGATACTGTATTCGGTCTTAAAAAAATATTACTGTATTCGAATAATTTCTCCAAGGATCACATTTCTGGTATTGTGTTGCTGTCTATATTTTATTTGGATAAAGCAAGTTTTTCTGGAACTTGGAATGGATATATTTGGCATCGGTGAATTATTGTCATGTACAGGCCTAAATTTATCACCCGAAATAGTTCATCGTCTCCACCACCATCATCATCTTCACAACCAGCAACAACAACAGCAACAGCAGCAACAATACTGCGATCGACAACCAAAACCTCAGCTGTCATACATCGGCCTCATTGCAATGGCAATTCTAAGTTCCAGAGACAAGAAAATGGTCCTTTCGGAAGTGTATCAATGGATCATCGACAATTATCCGTACTTCCGGAGTCGTGGGCCTGGCTGGCGAAATTCAATCCGGCACAATTTGAGCCTGAATGATTGTTTTGTTAAAGCTGGTCGGTCAGCAAATGGCAAGGTAAGATCTAAACGTCGATATGAAAAAAAGTGCAGGGACAACAAATAATTTATGAAGCATATCCCATTAGCGCACGTACTCTAAACAGCAAAATCCTTGAGGCTAAACAGTAATTTCTCGCTTTGGGGATTCGAAATTGCGGATCATAGATTGCCAAGTTCTGTTTTGTTCCTGGAGATATACCTGCACTAAAAGGAGTAGAGCTCTGTTTTTCCAAGGTCGTGTATTTTAAGTTTCTTTTTTTTAGAATTATAATCATATCTCCGTTACTGTTACATGCCTTTTAAAATGCAACGAATATGTCTGCTTTTCAGAAGTTGGTTAAAAGTGTTATGTCAAAGTCTGCTAAAAGTGCTATATCATGCGATATAGGTACTGTAAATGGCCAACAAATTGTGTTGGCAACAGATTTTGTTTAAAAAAAATAATGACAAAATAAACAATAAATTCATATTTTTAGAAAGTTCAGAAAGATAAACCTTTCTCAGTATCCACTTTTTGTGAGAGACGGAGAAACTCGGAAATAGCACCACTGTTAACAGCTTTTTAACCGTTTCTTTTTCTGAGGACTGCTTGAAAACAAGCTGGTGGTATTTTAAGAATATGTCAGTAGCAATTTATCACGGAAACAAATAGATGAGACGTAGGACTGTTTTTTCCTTAACCGAACTCCGCCCCAGCTGGTTGAGCAGGGCAGTTCTACGAGCCGTTAAATCAAACTTATCAGCGAAATTTTACCTACTTTAAGCAAGAATAATCAACGGTGTTTTCAAATGTGTGCTATTTTTTTGTTGTTATATAATAATATTAATAACAATAATGATAACAAATGATAATAATAAATAATGACGACAAAAAATAATAAATAGTGGCAGCAAATAATGACAAATGACAATAATGCATAATAATAAATGATAATAATAAATAATAACAAATGATAGCAATAATAATAAACAACAGTAACGGTAATAATAAACATAACTATCTGCTGATTCAAAACTAAAAGTTTGACATGCGCTACTTAAAAATGTCCCACCTACTATCATTTCCTATTTTCTGGTTAGACTGCTACCTGGTGACGGTTTAATCTCAGATCATTGCTTTTTAGGGACATTATTGGGCAATTCATCCGGCCAATTTGGACGATTTCAAGAAAGGCGATTTTCGAAGGCGCCGTGCTCAGAGGAAGGTCTCATTATTCCACTACATTTTAAATAAAACCTTTGTTTCACAGAAAATGCTTCAACAAATTTGTTTTCATGTTTATTTGGCTATCAGTTATTTTACAGGTACGACGACATATGGGTCTATCGGTGAACGAGGACGAGTGCTCAGATGATAGTCCTCTGACCTCGCCAGTTCCAGTGAGCAAACCGTTTACCATTGAGTCGATCCTGCGACCGGAATTTCCGCAGCCCCAGATGATACTACCCTTACCACCGCTGTTACCATCACCGTTACCTTATCATTTTTATACAAATTGTTTTTATGGGTGATTGGCAGTGGGACCACAATGACGGATTTTAGTCATAAGCAAGAACAGTTCAGTTGCAGTGATCTAACTCAACGTAATATCTTGCAGTATTGCGTCAATAAGGCGCAATGTTTCATTCTTTGACACGAAATGCCTGCAATTTCAAAAGAAATAATTCGTTCCCACGGCATTTTGCACTCGAATCTTGCCAAAACCCTTGAAAAAAGACTATAGAGCCTGATCAAAGTCAGGGTTGACTATGTATCACTGTTTCGAATTTTGCTGCATTTTAACGTAAGCATTATTGACTTCCTGAAGTGTTACGTCACTTCCATGCTTGTTTTTAACTATTGAATCCCTCGTTGTTATGCTCCGTGATTGCATCTGCTGTATAAATTAGTATTTTGCGACAAATCACATGTATCCGTGTTTGTTATCTAGTGTTCCATCTCCAGCTCCTTAATATGTGCTTTTTTATGCGTTTTGTGACAGCAGTACAAACGTATACTGCCACGGGGTTGTCTGTGTATGTTTGTGTGTGTGTATGTGTCCGTAGCAGCTTGTCCGCAACTTTCAACTCGGGAACCACAAAAGCTAGAAAGCTGAAAATTTAGCGTACTGCTCCCCATCCACGTGTGATCCCGCAAATTTAAATTCAGCATCCCCGTATCCGCGGGTGGCACGTACGGCCTTGTAAAACTTTTGGCGGGTAAAATTACTGTCATA